GGGGGGTGCTTAGCCCCACCTATGCCCTGCCCCTCCTTGCCAGAGGGCTGTCGCGGGGCTGGCATATGCTGGTGCTGTATGTGGAGATGGAGGACTGGCTGCATGCCAAGTGGCACCGGGCACTGCAGAACAGTGGCGTATCTATTCCAGCCAACAAATCATTAATAAACATGTTGAACAGCATGGGACTCAAGACAGAACCCTGTGGGAATCCACCTGAAATCTACTTCATCCTGATATGGATCCATTTATAACTACCCTTTATTTGTGGCTATGGAGCCAGTTGTCAAACCACCTAGTTTTGCCCAGCCCAATTTTCTCCAATTTGTTCATGAGAAGGTCATGTGGGATCTTGTCAAAAGCCTTGTTAAAACCCAGATACACTAGATCCACAGCATTCCCTTTATTCACCCAACTAGTTACGTTGTTGAAGAAGGTGATCAAGTTTGTTTGGCATAATTTGATGATAGTAAATTTATGCTAGCTGCTCATGATCATCCTTTCATTTTCTAGATACTTGCAGGTAGATTTCCTTAAAATATACTCCACTAACTTCCTTGGTGAGGCTAACTGGTCTATAGTACCCTAGGTCATTCTGTAACAGGGGCCAAGGCCACTTTTTTACAGGTCACTTTAAGAGGGGAGAACAGCTGGCTGCTACAGCAGAGGAGGGCAAGCAGGCCATCAAACCCAAGTGGAAACCCATGTGTGTGTCTAGGGAGCCATATGACAGGAAGGGGTGGGTTTTGGGGCACATAAACCCAGTGCCTAAGCCCAATCTGGCCCTGCATGCCACAGGGAGAGGAGCTTCTGAGAGAAGGGTTTCAGGAGGCAGTCTGGCAGGCAACCAAGCCACCCAAGAGAGCCAGAATGAGCTCTCCATTGGGGGCTCCAATGGATATATGGTTTGTAGGGGCATTGACTCAGGGTGGGGAAAATTTTAGTTAAAAAATTATATTGTGTTTATGCTATGTTTAAGATGGATACTGGTGGACTGGATTGTGGCTACTCTTTATGCAGCAACTGATGGAGATCCTTATGTCCCCAGGACCCAGGCTGCAGGTGTACTGTGTGCAGCATGGGTAGGTTGGCTGAGCCCCTGCCCCAGCGTGGCACCCCCTGTGACACATGACCCATCAGGTGTCTAGCAGCTTGGGGAGCGCAAGCCAGCACCTACCTCACCAGCTCTGTAGCCCTAGGCCCAGCCATAAGGCATGGGTCACCATGACACCACCAGATGGTAGCAGTGCAAGCTCCTTCCCAAGGCGGGGCCCTGTCTGGGTGCCTGCATGCTGCACTCTGCCATCTGAGGACACCACCCAGAGCTGCATGCTGTTGCCACCAGCCAGGACCAAGTGCAGCCATCAGCCATGCCATCCCCAGCCACATGGTAAGCCCCACACTGGGGGAAGGGCTGTCCCCACTCCTGCCCCTGCTCCTGCCCCTTCCCCTATCCCTGCCTCTGCCCCTGCCATCCCTCTCTGCCTGGCCCTACTGCACTTGGTTGGGCCTGGGTTCCCCACCCACAGCACATAGAGAGGTGGAAGGCAGTGCAAAACTTTATTGAGCAGCCTGTGCCCCCACAGCTAGGCAGGCATGCACCTCTCACGCACCGAGGAATGAGTCAATGCCAGCAGCAATCTCCTGCTTTGAAGTGGGGGGCAGGGACATGTTGTGCAGCCACAGGTAGTCTTCCCACCAGTGGCAGAGGTTATGGGGTAGCCCGGTCTTTCCCCCTTTGCTGTCAAAGCTCAGGGTCCCATGCCAGGTGCACAGGTGCACCTGGGGTACCATGGCTATCAGCAGCAGGAGGGCATAGTGAATCAGGCACCCCTCAGTCCACGCAAACAGCTCCTCAAACACCACTCATGACATGTGCAGTAGGGGCACGCTCAGAGCACAGTGCCAGCATAGGAGGGGGAGAGGCCCAGGGGGTGGGGCATAGGCAGATCCTTATCCCAGCCATTCTGGAGCACTGTACCCCCTCAAGCCCAGGTGTCATTGGCTTGGCAGCAGCACAGGAAAGTGGCTGGCTTGCAGGAGGAGAATGAAGGGGGATCAGGGTCTGGAGCCATGGCAGCAAGTGCTGCCAGGAGTCTGGCCTGCTCTGGGTGGGGGAGGCAGGCTACTTGTGGCCAGAATCCAGCTCTGGCCACACCTGCAGTGACAGGACACTGCCATTCAGTCGCCTATCCCCTCCGGACACGTGGCTGACCCTCACCCTGCTCAGGCTGGCCATGCCCACCAGCCTGCTCACCCCAGGGTAGTGATTGGGGATGTGGGATTTGGCTGGCACCTGCCTGGCCAATTTACCATGGTCTCTGGACACCCATGCATGCCCGACTCCTGATCTGAGGTTGGGCAGTTCATGGCCCCTGGTACAGAGTATCTTATCGGAGAAACGTTGCAAACTCACGAACAGCTTCTTTCTTATGGCTCTGCAGGTCCTGCATCTGCACACAGGGGAGAGACCACACTTGGCAGCTGGGATGTGGACTCAGGGTTTCTGCCTCCTACAGCTCTGTCAGAGGGAGAGGACTGCACCCTCCTTCTGGAGTGCACCCTCCTCATGGAGCGCACCCTCCTCCTGGAGTAGCTGGTGTCAGTGTCAAAAGACCAGCTGAAGGACTTATGGATCTGGCAGGTGGAGGTTGTTACCCATGAGGAGGCACAGGACTGGGCAGACTGGGAGTTCCAGGCACTGCTCCTGGCCCTGGAGTACAAGTGGCTGGAGGCACAGTGGGAGCAGAACATGATCTTGTCTAGTTAGTGCAGGCCAGAAATAATGACTGCTGGGTGCTGGACACCATCCTGGCCCTGGCACCCACTGCCCAGATCCCAACCTAGCACGGCCTGCCCCCTGGCAGCCTCCCCCCCCGCCACATGGACCTGGGAGAGGTCCTGTGCCACCTCCAGCAGTCAGGAGCCCTTGGCCTGGCTCCCACCCTAGGTCCAGTGCCATCCAGCCCCTCAACCTGGGCTCAGGACTGCTGCTCATACAGGTACAGAGCTGGAGCTGCCTGCAGCAGAGCCAGGACTGCACACCAGCTCAGCTGGCCCTGGACACCAGCTTCCAGAGAGGGAGCTGCCCATGCCAGAGGACCACTGGCCAATGATGCTCTTGTGCAATTCCTCCAACCTGGCTGGCTTTGGACACCAGCTTGCCTTGAGGTCGACACCCATGGGGGAACAGCCAGAGGCTGGGGTGCTGGCTGCTTGTCCCCCTCTGCTCCCTAGGTGCCCCCACCCCATGGCCCCCCGCTCTGGGACAGCACACAAAGCACTTTGTAGATAGTTTGCACAGGGAAAAGGATGTTTTATTGTTTGTGGGTTGGGTGGGTGGTTGAGGGAGGGGGGGAGAGGTAGGGGTCTGTTTGATGTGAGGGGAATAAAAACTGTTTTTCTTCTGAGATGTACCTGCAGTGAACATGGGGTGGGTGGGGGGTTGGGCCATGGAGTACAGGAGGAGGTGGTCAGCCAGGGCCTCTTGCACCATGTGCCCTGATCCCTGGTGGTGGCTGTGTGGCTTGCTCACGGCCTCGGTTGGGGGGGCAGGCACTGTCACTCCTGCCACAACTGGTAGTCCCTCTTTGAGGTGGCCTCCGCCCACGATGCCTCCTCCACCCAAGCCTCACAAAAGAGCTTCCCCTGGGCCTCACAGATATTATGCAGTACCTAGGCTGTGACAGTGACCTGAGGGAGATTGTCCCCTGCAAAATCAAGGCGAGTGGTGAGGGTGTATCAGTGTCCCTTTAGGTGGCCAAAGGCACACTCCAGCATGATGCAGGTCCAGCCCATGTAGCAGTTAAAGCAGGCCTGGAGGGGCCCAGCTGGCTGGTGTAGGATCACATAAGCCAAGGCAGACATGGGTTTGTGGGGTCCGCAATGAGGAAAGGCAGGACCACCATGGTGCCCAGCTGCAGGTCTGGCACCATCCGCATGAAGCAGCCACTCTCCACCAGCCGTGGCAGGGTGGAGTTACAGAACACATAGGCAGTGTGGACACTGCCTGCCCAGCTGGCACTCATGTGGTCCATGGTGGCCTGGAGCACCATGGAGTGAAAGCCCCTCTGGTTGTAGTAGGGCCAGTCCGCATGGGGTGGACAGGTGACAGGGATGTAGGTTCCGTCTAGGGCCCTGATGTGCTGGGGGAAGCCTAGGGCATGGAACCCCTACCACCACCTCTAGCCCATCATGCACATGGAGCATGGTGTCCCCCAGCACATTCTGGAGAGCACCTCCAGGATGGCCTCCCTGGCAGTGGCATTGCCCACTCCGAAAAGATGGCCCACATAGCAGAGGCTGGTGGGCATGGCTAGCTTAAGCAGGGTGAAGGTCAGCCAGGTGTCCGGTGACCACATGGCAGTGTCCTATCACTCCAGGTGTGGGCACAGTTGCTTTAGGAGGTCCCAGAAGGTGGTCTGGGTCATCCAGAATGCTTCCAGCCACAGCTTGTCATCCCAGGTCTGCTGGACAATGTGCAGCCACCTGTCCTGGCTGGCCTGGTGGGCCCAGGGGAAGCAGGGCTGGAGGCCCAGAAGGTGAGGGTGTCCCTGCTGGTGGTGTCCAGGAAACTCTCAATGGCGTTCCTACTAGGGCCCAGACAGCTGGATGGAATCTAGGTGGCAAGTGTGTGGCAGTGGTTGCCTTGGGATGGCGCACCCTAGCCAGGCAGGAGGTTGCTGCATATAGGGGAACCTGGAGGGCCAGATGGCCATGGGCCAGCTGGCAGTTGGCACAGTGGTCCAGCAGGAGCCAGGGGTGCTGTTTGTCACTGCCAGAGGGCAGGGGCTGGTGCAGCCATGCCATGGGGAGGCAATGTTGATGAGGAGAGAACTACTACTTGCTGCCACAGCAAGTGGCTGGTCAGGGAGCATAGAACAGGGCTGGCTTTTCAAAAGGGCTGCGGGCTGCTGGCCGCTGCAACCAGAGCCTGGAGCTCCCCCTGGTGGTAGCATGGGCCCATTGCAGCACTGCGGAAAGTTTGGTGCTAAGAACAGCAAATCTGCTCTCTAGATGCCTGCCTGGGATCATTTACTTACAAGTAATTTACTTGCAAGTAAACTGATCTCAGATCAAACGTGTGTGCAGACACGCCCACTGAGTAACATTTAAAAAGCTGCAGGGGAAGATGGAGGCCATGAATATAGCCCATATGGCAACTGGTTCCATGAGGCTTTCATGGGGCCTGGAGGGCCATAACTTAGTGCCTGAAGGACAAGACTGAGGCCAACTTGGTACAATAGGTAACAGCTGGCTAAAGTGAACCAGGGTTTACTCTGGGACCCTGGTGTAGCCTCCCTTACCACCAATATACTTCCATCAAGGTGTGGCAGATGAATAAAAGGTAGATTACCTTGAGGAGCCAGAGTGAGGGCAGGAATCACATTGCCATCAGGGAGCATCACAGCCACCTCTGGTGTATGGTCCTGCTATACCTTCTTTTTGCCTTTTTTTTAAAGAGAGGCACTATAGTTTCATAGTTTCATAGTTTCTAGGGTCGGAAGGGACCTGGGCAGATCATCTAGTCCGACCCCCTGCCA